CACATGTTCAGAATCAGCTCAACATGTTTGAGTTCGAGCGCCTTCTGTCAACCGGTTTTTGGACTCCAGGGGCGAGCATTGCCTTGCATTTTCGGGAGCATTTGCTTTGGTTTATCCTTGGGAGTGTCTGGCAAGCACAGACATTGTTTGATATTTTCACTACTGTCATGAGCTTGTGTACCAGCAGTCAATAGAACCCTGGACTAAAGCCCTCGTGCATGGCAAGCGTTGATGCTTCGCATTAAGATGCTCTAAAATACGCAGTGGACTAGGACCAACGTAGTTATAGTAGGACCTAGAACACGCCACACACAGACGGACTCGGGGTTCTTGAACCCCACAAACGCCCTCTACCCTCCGAACGTTGAATCCTAACTGCCACCTACTTCCCTAAACCCTAAACCCTAAATCCTTTGTGCGCGTGGGTCCGCATCTTGGCTCAAAGCGCTTGGCTGCTGGAAGAACCTTTGCCCCCGACCCAGCACGCAGGCTGCTCTGGGTTTCTGTTAAAGGCTTAGGGTGTGCAATAACATGCAACAATCATGTACTTCCCCGAAACTTCACCTACAACTGCAGCAACGAAACCACAGCAACTTAAAGTATCGCGTATTTGCACTCCCAGACAAGCAATTTGGAAGGGGTTGAGCCTGGCTTTTGGCTCTGGGAGGCTTGGGTGAGTGAAATTATGGCCCCAGTTGCCTGACCCTGTGGGTCTATTGTTCTGTGTCTCCAATGTGCTTGGGCACCAGAGGTTTCATGCATGAAAGCTTTGGATACGGCTTCAGAGTCGTCAGTCATTCAGGAGATCTTATGTCCCAGGAGCACGGCCCTCTTTTGCTGGCAAAGATTTAGTGCCATGGAGTTTGGACCACGGTTCTGGGGCGTAGTACGCAGCCCCCAGGTCTTCACAACCGACACGACGCAAGCCGCAATAGCCCAACCGAGCAACACTCCACACCGACCTTGTGCAACGAGGTACTGCTCTAGACCCCGCGCTGTACAGTTGAAGTGGGCTATAGTCTAAATTCCTAGTATCTCTCTAAGTAATCCCTATACGGTGACACTTTTTTATAAGCGGAGGGCGGCCAACCCCAACGTGCCACGGAGGTAGTATAAAAG